TCTGATGGGAGGGATATAACTCCTGATCTTTTCCTCTTTTTCATCTGTTTGAATATTTATGTGTGTGTTTGCATGTACAGATACCTATTTATAAATGCTTAGATTTCAAAAGAAGACAGTGAACATACATCACTTTTGTCTAAATGGTCAACCGAGCATTCAGAGAAGCTGTCTCCCTGGGGAGCAAGTAGGGAAATAGAGTTTATGCAAAAGATGTTATTTCTGTATGTCTAACTCATGTTTACATTACTACTTTTGTGGAACAAGGAAAGGATATAGACTTCTTGTAGAACAGCAGTTGGTCATTTCTGCATTTCTCTAACATACAAAGTCCAGGACCTTCCTTCCACATGATTCTGTCGTAGTGAGTTACTCTCTAACAGCATTCCTGAATGCTTCCCTTGACCAGTGAGAGCAGCAGTAATAAAAAGTCTGTATCTTCATCAAATGGAGGGCAAACACTTTTTAACACCAGTTACACTGGTTGAAAATACCTATTTTAGTTCTCCGAATTTTAGCTCACTCTTACTGCTCATCAAGACAAAGTTAAGATCATGCAATAGGCAAGATACTGTATTAAGACAATGCTAAAATCACAGAGATATATCCATTTATGTTAGGTCTTGCAGTTAAGCCAATGAAACAGCTTACATCATACCCAGGGTAATTCTGAAGCAGTAGAATGCTTAAGTTCACAAAGCTAGATTGTTTCCGTACATAAACTTGTTCAGAGCTTGCTTAGAAGTCGTTTATATCAATGGCCCACCTTAAAGAACTCTCGTTATAGGTTTCATTACATTACTTTCATTACATTAGCTGATTTGTAATGATGGTTTGTGTGAGCTCTTCTTGACAGTAAATGTATAACAATTTGAACTCTTTAAAAGCTTTTTCATTGAGGAGATCCTGAGTGTAGTGTAACACAAGTAGAGATGAGAAGTTCACATTAAACACTTTCACCAGGCACTGGAACACTTTCAAATCTGAGTAATTACGAATCCCCATGGTTTCACAGGTTAAGAGAAACAAGTATAACTTTCAAGTTACTTGCCGATGTCATTGCATTAAGCATTTTATATACTTCCCATACTGAGTTCTAAAATAAATTGTTTTTAAATAGAGAATTTTTACAGAGAATAGCAGCTATCCAGCCACGAATCCTGTCTCCTGCAGTTCTTAATGGTCAGTGTTTGCAGACAATAGAATAGCACAAAGAGGTACTTTCCTCCTCATACTGTCCCAGCCATCCAGATACTAGCAACAAGTGAACCTCCTGAACTAGAGATCATTGTTTAGTTGGATGGATGGATCTCTGAGCCTATCCAAATCACTCTTTGTTATTTTCAATGACTGTATGAATATCAACATCCCTTCAATAGTTTCACTTCAGAAATACACACAAAACTTTTCAAAGTTGTTAAATTTAATAAGGAAAAGAGTTTGCACTATTTTCTTCAGGTCAATTTATCTTGAATACTTGACAGCAGGTGTAGCATAAAGCAGGAGGTTGGAATGGCTGAAAGGAACTACGCTCAAGATCTACTGTCTGAAAAATGGACACTCATGTCTCCATATCATTTTCTTTACATTAATTTGTATTCTTTTTTTTTTTTAACAAAAAACAATAAAAAAAAATCCTAGGTAAATTGAAGCTATAAAATCATCTCCAGTGGAACTTAGAGGCCTTTCTTCCTACTCTTAAGTGTCCTGGAAATGTCAAGCAGTCACCACTTTTTGATAAATACATATTTCTGTGAAACGAATAAAGGCTTAGCAACCAAGGCACATATGCTCAGCAGCTTTTTCTTTTCCAGCTGCTAGAAACACTTAACGATTCAGAACAAGTTTGTAAAAATTATGAAGTATCATTCAAATTCTTAATTCAAAAAGTTGCTCAGGCACTGTGATGACAATCAATGGCAAACCTGCATAGGCAGGGCTGACTTCTTGTCTGTTGTATTCCTAGCTGGCCAAGCACAAACCACCTCCAGTCACAAACGTGCAACATGCTTGCACATCCAACTTAATAAGCTTTATTTAAATACACTATTGAAATAATACCTCAATACAGTCTCAAATGAGAGCAGGCTCACATCAGACAGCTCAGAGAACAGGTAGCTGAATTCTTTGTTCCACCAGATAAACTGGTTTTAAAATGTTAATCAGCTTAATAGAGTTTTCCCGATAGCAAGTGACCAGTGTATTACGTGCCCTAAGATAGAGTGCATTGATATGAAGTATATCCATGATATATCCAAGATATCCATGTCCAGTTATAGAGAAATCCAAACTGAATCCTACAGATTCTTAAATAAATCCCCCCTGAAGTCAGTACGGCCACTCATGGGAAATGTCCAAGTTGATAGGATACTTACAACTGGCTGGCTATCTGCCTGTATTTTAATTTTTTTTAATTAATTGGCTTGCATTCTAGTGCTTAAGTATTGTGAGATTCTGTATGCAATCAAATACCAACAATCATGTCAACAAATATGTAAACACCATCTCCCAAAGTACTTATGCAAGTCTCCTGTCTGAGACATCTCACATACCAAGCCGTGCACGAAGTTCCCAGCATACACAATTAAAAAAGCCAAGTCTAATACTGAAAAGGCTCTAAAATGATGCACTCAAGTTTTGCTCAGAAATGCAGCCACATATCAAAGCCAGCAGTCCATGCATCTGCTATCTTACCTATCTACTCAAGAACATAATTTGAAAGCACGGAATTACATACATATAATAACATAGTTATGGTGTATACGATTGAAAACATCACAAAATGCTATACTCCAGGAGAGCATTCTATCAAGCAGTATTTGGTTTTGGCAATGGAAGTACAAATTCAGTACAAAGTAACAGAAACTACGTTTCAGCGTTAAAAGCTCTCAAGAGTTCAACAGAATAGAAACTTGGAAATGTAATAGATGAAACTTCCACTGTGTGTACGAGTCCAATTTCCCAGTAATGTAAACTAGAAGTGCCAAATAATAATCAAAAACAAAAATATCCCCCACATCTCCTGCCAATAGGTTTAGTTTAATGTCATCCAGCCCAAGTTATTTTCACTTCTCTTTGAGTGCATAGAGACAACTGACATTCAGATAATGCCTAAACAATAGAAAATAGGACTAAAGATGAGATACCATGAAATTTTGTTCCTATCTGATTAGTAAAAAAGTGCCTTCAGAGCCCGGAAAGCAACTCTGGAGACTCAGCCAAAACTTTCTGCTTTTACGAAATAAGCCTTGGCTTACGTTAAAAGCACATCCTACTAAGAAAACCAACAAACAAACAGAAAAACACTCCAAGAAGCGGTATAACAATGAAGTTTTCCCATGAAATCTCACTTTATACTCTTTGCATATATACAGGAATGAGTTGTTATGCCTATGTTCACCTGAGAACATTTTTCAAACAGATGAGAGTACTGCACTTGTACCGTAATAGATGCTTGTTGTCTGTAAAGGATTTTATCAATGCAGAGTTGCATCTTCCCCAAGCACACAAGGAATAACCTAAAGTAACCCAAGACTTACACATGGCACATTTACCAATAGCAACTGTTCAGTAAAAGAAAAAACAACTTCAGTCACATCCTAGCTAAAATAGCTTTGCTGTTACTGAAATCTTTCTTAGGTTCAAGATCTCCATAAAAAGATACAGCTTTGTGGCAGTGTCTTGTGGTATAGAAACAACCTGAAGAGAAAAATGTAACTAAGGTAGAAATCAGTAGGGGAGAGACATAATAAGAAAGCAGGAGGAAACAAAAACAAGTTTAAAGCATGTAATGAAGCACTAAAGAAAAGGGAAATGAGTCCAAACAATTGCATCTTGAGGACTGGAAGGAAAAAACAAAACAAAACAAACCAGTGACACATCAGAGCAGGATTTTATTTCTATTCAGCTGTATTCCTTTGGCTACTGACCTATTTACATCTCACCTATCAGCACTTGCATCTGTACCCGCAATGAATTCCACATTATATATATATTCCTTTAATTTCTGGATCTCTTTCAACAAGTGAGAAATTACAAGTTAGGGAATCCAGAAAAGATTTGTAGCTATCTTAAGATAGCTTTAAGATCTTAAAAAAAAATAATAATAAATATGGGCCTTTGCAAAATAGGAAAAAGTATTTTGGAGAAAAAAACAAAAAAACCTTCAGATAATGAATGCTGATCCATTAGAAGAAAAGTATCTCCTATTTAGTAATTTGTGTGAGAAAGAGAGAGAATATCCCCACTTACCAGTTTTATTGATGTTTTTTTCATTAAACACTCAGACCTTCCCACCTACAGGTGCTAACAACTAGTTACTTTACTACAAATCTCACCACCCTATGCTACCCCTTAAAACTAGGAAACTAACCCAATGTAGGAAAGCCACAAAGCTAGACCAAACATTTTAGAGAGTTCTGAAAAAAAAAAAAAGTTAACTAGCTGCTCTGAAGAGAGATTTGGAGAACTGAAGACATTGACAGCAGCAGCAGTGTGAAACCATCAAGGCTTGTTTACTGATTTCATAACAAAACAGCGTTAATCTCTCATTTATTTTTTCCCCATTTTGAGCTGGCACTGTCTTTGCTGAGCGCTACACAGTTAACACAGACTTGTCCACTGAAACATTATACCCGCACTAACAGCAACAGATGAGCATTCCTGAACTACTTTGCAATGAGAAAGTATGTACTTTATTGGCCTTATCATTGATAAGACATTGCTCCTGCCTTTCTATCACTCAAAACACAAAAATATTAAGTGAAAGTCAAACTGAAGCCCCAAGCAAGACCAGAGGCATTACATTTAGTTGTTATCTCAGCTATCTTTAAGGTATCTGCCAAAGTCTCTCAGCCTGGCAGAGACAGATGAGCAACCACAAGACTGCTCTGTTCCGCACCCTCCAAGCTCTTTTCTACAGAAATATGACAAGCACAGTACCTGCAGCACCCTTATTCTGCAGCACTACAGCAAGCCTGACCAGTTCTCTCTGTACTTACCAGGGGGGATAGATGTGGATGACATCCTGTGGCCTACTCTTCAGGTGAGCAGCTGTCTCTCTTGCAAAAAGGACTTTGATTATTGGTTCTCTTGTACTGATGACAAGGTCTTCGGATGAAATGATAGCAGGAGACTCTTCCAGCTGCTGGCAGATGGCAACTTGTATCATACACTCCTCAAACATTTCTAAGATCTTCACAATTAAAACACCAGATTTATCTGCAAATTTAAAGAAAAAGAATGCAATGTTTGGATAAGGAGAAAAATTCTGGCACAATGAAGATGTATGTTCTGCTCTCTCCTTTCCTTTCTGATCTGCAGAAAAGCCACATGAGCATAATACACCCAAATGAAGTTTTAAGCAATTACACCATTTTAAACGTGAGCAGGTATTTGCCCTCTAATCTAAGACAGCACCCATTAAGTACAAAGAACCTAAAAGCAGTGTTTCACATTCAGAGACAATGTGAAAAAAACACAGACTAAGATATATAGACTAAAAGCAGCTATTGCAAAACTTATCCACTTTATCAGTCCTCAAACAGGAGAGAAGCAACATTAACATATACCAGCATTCCTACAGTTTGATTCTATGCACTTCTGTCTATTTAAAAGATTACTTCTAGCTCCCTTTACAGTCTGCAAAGATCTACTCAGACAGACCTGGGTCTGTTCCTTTCATGTAGGATTTATTCTCTTTCTCACCTAACTCCACTTCAGTTTGCACTCTGATCACTGGTGTTGTTATCCACCTGCTAAACACTGCTATCAATAAAATCATGATGCTATAGAACAGGAGCAGCAGTATCCCAATTCTACTGATTTTGATTCACAAGTTGCATTTAAAAAAAAACACAGTATCCCAAGAAAAACAGCTGATATAAATTATCTTCCCACAGCAAAGCAGAAGCAGGGGCGGAACTGTGAACGTGGTACTGGAACTTAGCAGAGCTGTACTAGTTATTTGCTTATTTTAAAGCCCATTTCACAATTGTAAATGTCTTTCCTTTGGAAAATAAGTCAAAATATTTAAGTTTATGAGCAACTTCAGAACAAACTAATGACCCAACCCTTTAGGAAACCCCAAACCAAAGAAACTGGATTCTAAATCTTTTCAGATCTATTTAATATGTTAAATTCTATAAAATATATTATATATTTTGCCTATTTCATATTTCCATGTCTTTATTACATTTTATGCTAGAACTGAAATAAAATCATTTTGAAATATAAAACCAACGTTTTCTCAAAACCGCTTTTCTGTAAACCAATTTTTCATCACACGCAACATGTTTCTGCAAAGCATTGTTTCTCATGGACTGGTATTTTCCAGCAGGATAAAAGGTTCCTTCAGGAATTCCCCCATGCAATATATGTCAGCCATTTCTGTCCAGATCGTTACAGCTTGACCTCCTTCTCCAGAGCTGCAGAGCAGGAGTAAGAGAACCAATGCTTTTTGCCAGATCCTTTTCGTCAAGTACTTTGAGCTCGACTGGTGAGGAGAGATGGATGCCACCACTATCAATCCTCACCACTGTCACCTTCTAAGGGAAAGCTGTAACAAATGCACTGTCCTTCCAAAGATCCTGCTGACTAAAGTCTGCTTAAGTGCATAGTTCTGCTCAGTGTGAGCTTGGACTAGTTTTCTATCCCTAAAGGCAAGGATTCAGAATATTCACACTTGAATTACACTTTGCCTGACTAGCTCCAATTGTAGTCCTCTGTCAACCCCAAGTTGTCATAAACAAATTGTCCCAACCACAAAAATCTCAGCCTCCCAAGTAAGCAAAGTAGTGAACATTTACCTCTACTCATACTCCACAATACAAATTTTCACCCACTTTAAAAAACAAGTGACAAAAAAAATCAACGTCAATGACAAAGCACACCAGCAGTCCCAAATATATATATATATATATATAAAATATATATATATATATATATAAATATATATATAAATATATATATATAAAAACATCCTAGAACTTTTCATCACTTCTGAACAATGCATTTCTCATGTGCAAAATTTTTTGAAAATTCTTACTGGTCAATGATGTATGTGTAACGTTCATCAGTTGATAAACCAGCTTAAAGAAATCACTGTAGAATAGAATGACAACTTAATACTTCTCTTTAAAATATCCCAGACTAGAAAACAGTTTAAAATGCTAGGCATATCAAAAACTTCGTCTATATGAAAACCCCTTAAAGGATCTTGGAGAAAAAGCTCTACAAAGACACCCAGCATCTCTCGCAAGCCAAACTTGGCCCAAACTCCAGAAGCTGATACTAAATGAAGCAGAATGCCTCTGCATTAAAAACAATACAACTTCAACAACAACCCACGTCTCAAACTTGGCACACGTGCACACTCTACAGAACCACAATCTATTTGTTTATTTAGATGCATGGAGATAGCTTAATTTAATTGCTCAAATTATTATTACTGCTGATGATAGAATGCTTTCTCAAACAACATAGCAAAGCTTTTTGAATTCCTGGCACGTGATGAAACATCAAAGTTCAGAATGTAGCTTTATTTTCAACTCATTTGGCTCCTGCTTTGTTATGCCAATCAAAAATAAATCAAACGTGCGGCTGCAAACTGAAAGGAGAATTTGTGGGTGAGGAGATGGGCTGGATCACTGCAATTTCTACAGCTTCTAGAGGAGTTTACTTGTTTGTTCACTTGTGTGAAAACCTTATCTTAAGGTTTTGCAGTGTCCTCTTTCACCCGTGGATAATTCACAGAAGTTCTCACTTGATAAACTCACCTCATTTCACTCACAAAACAATTATAGACTGAGAAATTGAAACCTTCAGATGCACAATTTTCATGGCAATATCCAACATTAAAAACTTTTGAGCAGTAACTGTGGTGCAGCCCAGCCTATTCCTACACTGCATATTTCTTCATGTTTTATTCTGCTGTCTAGAGCACACAGATTTCCTTCTTCACTGTTACTTTTTTCCAAAAATTAGTGAGCTAATCTTGCTAACAGTAAAGTCACTGAAGCATAAGAGTGGATATTAGGGAAAGAAGAGATGAACAACATAAAGGGGAGGGCACGAAGGGACAGGCAGACAATTGTTCAATGCTCTTTGCAATGACAGACTAACCAGGCTGGATTAATTGAGTTTGACTAAACCTTGAGGCTGCATATTTGCAAATAGTATCCAATTACTTCTCATCCCCTATAATGTCCACGTTGCACTGTCCTTGAGAAGCTCCTTTGGGACTCGGAGAAGGAATAATAACTACAAGTACCTATGGAATGCTCATTTCAAAAACTTCAGTTTATTCACATGAAGGTAACCTTTCTTCTCCCATTAAAAGAAAAGTCACTGTGCACATTCACAATGAGTACACACCTGTCCAGATGCATTTAAAAATCCTTCATTCAAACAGCCATTCAAGGACTGCTTAACATAATCCACCTTTGGTGCCAGATGCCTTTCCAAAAGCACCTTGCAGCAGTCTTCATGCAGTTAGCAGAAAAGTTAGAAGACATTCACTTATACAGACTTAAGGGCCATTTGAAGCATCTGGACCCATGATTATAAAGAGACTTTATTCATTCCAGGGGCACAAAGTGTAAAGTCAGTCCCTGATACATATAGTTTGAGATGTCATGAAGAGAGAGGAAAGTACTGACATAACTGGTTTGAGTTATGGACTCTGAAGGTGCATTTAGGTTGTACAACTTGCTTCCTCTAAATGACACCGTTTAAAAGGAGAGGAAATCAGCCATCAGAGCTCATAACACTACCTCAATGCTAACAATTTGCATCAAGACTAGAAACCTACACAGAGATGCAACATGCTAGCAAATAGTCATCCAAAAGGCACCCAAGTCCTCCTGTGACCAACAAGAAAAAAAAACAAAAAAATCAAGTACCAATGATAAGCTGGGTCAGCTTTCACCTGAAACACCACATCAGCCCTTCGCAGAATGCTTCACTATGATAAGTGTCAATCATTGGATGGAAACCATTGCTAGGTGAACTGCGATGAAACAAATGAATTCCTCTAGATCTCACAAATGTGCAGACCTAATGAAACCAGCACGACATGCTGACTGGTGGGAAGAACAAGCCTTTTAAGCACGGAAGTAGCTCTGGAGAAGCCTCTCAATTATTGACAAGGGCTTCTCTCACCTTGCAGGCAAGAGATGGCTCTGACAAGAAGCCAGTCAGGATCCTTGGCATAAGGAGATGCAGCATGGCCCCCTCAGAACGCATAGGTGGAATGAACTTCAGAGTCCTCAGAGACAGACGAAGAAAGCATCCAGAACCAGGCAAACAGAACATCAACAGCTCTTTGTTACTGTTAGCTAAATCTGAGAAATCACAAGGAAATATCTTTTTAGAAACAGTAATAATTGAATAAATCTGTCAACTTGGGCATCTTTGTAAACTCCTCAGCCACAAGAACCTTGGGAATCCCTCCTGGAAAAAGAAGAAAAAACTGGCTTGTCACGAGATTGCTCTGAAATTAATGTCTCTTATTTATTCCCATTCAAACTACAACACCAAGTTGTACAGCAAGTTCTCAGCTACAAAATACTAGTTTTTAACACAGTCACTACCATTAACTATGCACTTCCACCAGCAATGAACAAGAACCTGCATGCTGCACTCAAAAATCTGCATGGCCACCTGGAACATGTCTTGTTTTTCACTCCACTGTCACCACTGCTGAAATGAAACACTTTCCACCCCAACTGTGGCGACATCCACTGCTTGGTCATCATAAACATTCAGCAAGCATTAATGATAGATGCCATTTTTTCAGCATGGAAGAATTCAATTCCACACCTTTGCTCCATACACATTCCTATGTCAGACACCATTGTGTCAGGCTGCCCCTCTTCTGTCATCTCTCACAAAACGTTACAAAACGTTGGTGGGAAGGTTCAACCTTTACTGCCATACCACCATCATCTGCCTCTGATGTCATGGGACAACATGATAAAATAGGAAGCACTGCTTTCAGAGCAGCCCTCATATGTGCTTATAATATGGAGTTTTTTTGATCACAGATTCACAAAAGCAACCAATAGCAGCTTCTTGGTAGAAGGAAAAAAGCTATTCAGGACAACAAAGAACATAGTTATCTCTGGATCAGGAAGACCTCGAGTCAGAGATCTGTGCAAGTTAAGATAATACTTTGGGAGAGATATCATGAAGTATCATTTTTCCTAGGCATTTGGCAAGCT